CGATCTGCAGTGATTGTGAGCCAATGGTTTGACGCCGGGCGCTTTCCGGATTAGGGTTAGCTCCCGCCATCATTTTCTGGTTAGGGTTAGGGTTAGGGTTTTGAACCCAATCCCATTCCGCTGACACAAAGAATGTGCGAAACTCCTCTTCCGGGCCAACCATAACCAAAGCCTTCCACGCCCTTCCCATATCTGTGAGAACAGGTTGACGATACACTCTGCCCGTACCTTCCCCCTCGTCCTCGGGGTAATATTCAGACGGCAGAGATCCTGATCAGTATCCCGGGGATCGCGACAACAGAGTGACACCATCCTAGTCGGGCGCTCAGAGGCCGTCAAGCATGAACACGCCCCACCAAAGCGTTTCCCTCAGGGCCAGTCGGACGGCTGGAACACCTTCAGTACTCCAGACTCTGACGTCGGAATCGGTCGTCGTATTGCGGAGGTAGATGCTAGGACTACCTCACCACACCCTGAAAGGGTCGCGGCACTTCAAAAGGAAGTTCGTCGAGATCCATGGTTGACAGGTCCGACTGAACATCTTCGAGATAAGTTTCTTCATACTCCGTGTGGAGCAGGCTTCGGTTTACCGACCGAACCGTATCCCAGAGGGACTTGGTCCGTTTCTTGGACACCATAACATGTTGAGGGAAAGGCAGGGATTTGTCTGCAGGTGCGCAGCGCCTCCATGTTCTCAACATCGTGGTCCAAATGTCGGATGAAGAAACTTTCTCCCAAGCGGGGTTGTACTGAGAGATTGCAATAATGAAATCACCTCTTTTTGCACGGGCCGTTCCATATTCCGCGTGCCGAGGTTTCCATTGCACCTGTCTCCCCCAGTTTCGAACCGCGCGTCTCGGCCATCCTCGACTAATGAGCCTCGACAAGAATGTCGCTTTCCATGTCTGAAAGTACGGCTGTCGATATGATATTGAAGATGCCCGAGTGAGTTCTCCTTTGACCAAACCCTTCTTCACCGAGGTAGGGTGTGAGGAGTCCCATGGGAGGTATTGGTGGTGGTTACCGACCTTTTCGTACGGCCGATAACAGATTTCTGGGGATCCGATATGGGTGTGAAACCACACATCCAGAAAGGATAATCCAATCCCAGAATGTTCCCAGGATATGTCCATTCCTGGGGCAACAATGAGTTGGGAAACAACGTCGTCGGATTGGTGAAGGACGAAAATATCGTCGATGTATCGGCGGTACAACCCGTCGAAACGTTCGAGATAGTGTCTTTCGTAAAAGGCCAAGTATAGATTTGCAAACACCGGGCCACAATGGATACCCATTGGGACCCCATCAGTTTGGTGAAACAATCTGTTGGCGAGTTGAAAGACCGTGTTTTCCCAGAGAATTTCCGCGGCTCGCAGTATCCATTGCGACAGTGCACGATTGAACTGGTATGGTGGATACCTTTCAACCACGGAGCGTAGGGCCACTTTGAAGTGAACCCAAGGGATGGATGTGTACATTGCGGACACATCTCCCGTGTGGAGACGGACAGACAAACCTCTCTGGTTGAAGGTTCTCACTTCTTCACACAATTCCCGGCTTGATTCGCAAATCCAGGAGAAGGATCTCTGGATCGGGAGTAGGAGGTTGTGCAGGACAATCGACAACGTCGAGGTCACATACGAGTGCATAGGCACAATCGGTCGGATCTTCCATGGGTTTTTGTGGATTTTTGGTATCCCATGGAATTGCGGTATGGCCTTTCGATGTTCTGCCTGATCGAGAAATTTCTGGACCTTCGGAGAGATCCAGAATTTTGTCTCATCCGTCACATCGGCAAAGAGCTCCGATAATTGGCGTTCGACCAAGTGATGGAAAGTCGGAAAGTCGCCAATGAAAGATTCGAATACTGGTAGTTCAATGAATTTCTTCACCTGTTCCAGGTACCAGTTCCTGGTAGTCACTACAATGCCGAGATTCTTGTCCGAAATGAAACACAAAAGATCAGCTTTCGTGAGCCAGTCGGCCAGGGCTTGTGGGGACAACACAACACGTCGGAACACGTCGCTCCGTCCAGTTGAGAGTTCAGGTATCGGTCGAGCCAGTTGCAGTTGGAGTAACCGTCGTCCAGACTCAACTCCCTGGTTGAACCAGTGTGACTTGATTACAGGTTGCCATGTTGGATTCCTGACAAAGGGGACCGCAGGGAGGCCTTCCAACACGTCTTGTCGTCTGTTGCGAAAGATCCAAGCCAGTTTCGACTTGCGAACCAACGCATCGAACCAGTTCCAAACGACACAATCCCGCTGCCGTTGCGGGTACAGGAATTTCAGATTCAGAGAAAGGGAGTATTCGACTTCTCGTGGTAGGATGATCCCTTTTTCTTTGTGCACGCCGGGACGCCAGCTCATGAGTGTTTCCAAGTCATTTTCCGTGAGCTGTGTCCAGACATACATTTTCCGTGCGAGAGGGGAGACTTTGAAGAAACGCGGGTCGACGCGTACTAAGCCTGATGGGAACAGGCTTAGCGCCTCTCTGGCCGCTTTCGCGCGTTGGGGCCCTTGCGTTTGTTGTTTCCGCCGTTTCGTGAGGCGCCCATCTTCTTCATCGTCTTCTTCCGTTCCTGTCGTTTCTGCGTTTTGTTGTGTGGTTTTTTGGAGATCGCAGAACTCCTTCTTCCTTTTCCCGACTGAGCCCTGTCTCGTCGGGACTGGTCTCTTCGTTTCAAGACCTCCTCGACCACGGATGCCAACTGTTTCTTGCTTGCGCCGCTCGAAACATCTGTCATGTCGACATCCGCTTCCTTCCTCATCTCAACGCGCTTTTCCTTGGCGAGTCGCGCCCGTTGAGATGAGCTTTCACCGATCGACGCAGCGACCTGACACACCTTTCGCTGAACATCCTCGTTCCCAAGAACGACGGAATGCTCGGTGGTGATAGTGGCCGCGTTCTGAGCAACCACCGCACTCCAGGCCGGAACTAACCGACTCTGGATGTTCGCTGGCTGAACGAAGCTTTGAAGGTTGGCAACCTCCAGCTCCTTGATCGTGATCATGGCTTTCAGAGCGCTCTCCTTTGCAACCCGGAGAGCGCCGTCGAGGTTCAGTGCACTCAGGCCTCCGTCGTCTGGTCCCAAAGCCTCCTTGCAGACCTGGACGGACGGGGCTTTCAACGAGTTGAGTTGTACAATTTCGTCAAACCGGCCGGACCGGAGGTGGTCCTTCCACAAGACCAACAGTGCCTCTGCACCGCCGAGCTTGAGGGAGGCCTGGTACACCCCATCGAGGATGTCGCGGCTGACGGGCTGTACTGGAACCGGAAGCAATCTTAGGACTTCTCCGATGCTAGAGCAGCTTGCAAGCTTGAGGAGCAAATCCTGCAAGTAGGCAAGGTTGAGTCCACCCTGGGTCCCGCCATTACTGGACTGGGACACCAGTGGTTCGGAAGCTCGAACGCGCTGCGTCGACGAAGACGCTCCTGAATGGCCATTCGGAGTGGGCGTAGCAGGTACCCGAGAAGGGTGAGGAGAAGCCCGATGATCACTTGACATGTTATGTATGCCACCACAGTCAAGGACATAGGGTTAGATAAGACAAGTGTAAAGGTGGTGGCAAAGACTTTCGTGCAAGAAGAATTGTATTCGAGATCTCGGGGTAAGCCAAAGACCTTTCGTTCCCTTGCAGAAAGAAGAACTCATCAGGAAAAATCGCGAGTTATATACCTCGAGCAGCAGGACCGTGCTGCAACCCCTCAAACACCAACAGCCGCCACGTAGCAGCCTGACACGTATGAGCAGGCGCCGACGATCTGCAGTGATTGTGAGCCAATGGTTTGACGCCGGGCGCTTTCCGGATTAGGGTTAGCTCCCGCCATCATTTTCTGGTTAGGGTTAGGGTTAGGGTT